ATTTTTTGAACAGAGTTACCGCCCGAGTTGTAAGAATCGCACAGTTCGTTGCATTAAAAACATGAGATGTCAAACGAAGGGGTTGCCACCTCCTTGAAAAATTGCTACACATCCCTTTTGCGGACAAACTGGTAAACAAACGAACTCCAATTTGTAGTAAACTCTCTGGGAAAATAAGTAATACCTGCGAATAGTTATATCGAGATGCTCGCCTCTACAAAAACAACTTATATGAGCGATCATAGGCTAGGAAATCTATTGAGTGCTCAATTAGGGAGTTCCCAAGGTATCGTAAGTGTTGTATTGCCGTTTACAGGGTTGTCAGTACATTCGAATTTTTCATGCTAAAGCAATCAGTACTTTTCTATTGAGAGCTCAATTAGGGAGTTTCCAAGGTATCGTAAGTGTTGTATTGCCGTTTAGCAGGGTTGTCAGTACATTCGAATTTTTCATGCTAAAAAAATCAGTACTTTTCAGTAAATTTTTATTCAAAGCAAAATTATGAATGTAGGTAACAGATAATACTTTAAAACATCACAGCACCTGCTTTTAGCAATATTTTGGTATATAAATAAAATACAGTTCATAAGAAATAAAAGTGTTATTCATATTAACATGAGTGTACACTAGGGTTATGATTTTTTTACACTTTTTTTAAATTTTGATTTGCCTGTGCTTGCTTTGCTTGAACTTTTGTCCAAGTATTAGTTTTTTGGCGATATTTTTGTTGGTTCGTGAAAATACCTCCCGCGCACACTATCATTTCATTTACAAGGCTGTTGCATGGAAAAGCCCCATACCTAGTATAAAAATTCGACCGAAATTCCTTTTTGCCTACCAAGTTTTGATTTAAAAACGATGTGTATCAGCACTAAACCCACGAATCTATTTTACTTTAATAAAACCATAAAACATTTGAGAAGAAAAACATTTTGAATATTAATTTTCCCCACTTAGAAACTGATAATAAATTGCGCTATGCGCGGGAGTTTTTTTTTATAATTTATCAAAATTGTTGTTATTTTTTGGAAATTTATACAAAAGTTCATCGTTTGCCACCGTAGGCATTTAAATCTAAAAAAAAATCATAACCCTAGTGTACACATCATTGTACACAGAAACCAATAAATANACCTGTCATTGTGGTTTCTTCTTTTGCCCTTTTTTCGCAAACTGATGGAGAGAAAAAATAAAGTTTTTGGGGCTGTGTAGTTGAACAGCGAGACAACACGCGTGTTTTATTTGCGATTTTCACCCCCGCAATTTTTTATTTAATCAAGAAAACGCTCTTGATACTTCAGAGATCATTTCCTTCTTCAGTGTTTAAATAGTCAAAGAATTCTATAAATTTCATTTTAAAATTACTTTTAATATAAAAAGTTTTAATTAGAAGCCAGCTTCTCTCTTTGCGCAAGGAAGCAAACTTTATACTTAAGATCCTCCCGGTTGCTTCGTTTGAGTGCGGTGTTGAAAAAAAAAACAAAATTACATTTTTTTTCAAACTGTGGAAAAGTACCACTATTTAATGACTTCATCTATATTTCCTCATGGCTTTAGTGCTGATACACATTTTTTCAACTACACAAAAACTTTGCAAAACTAAGAATTCGAAAAAAGAGTATCTAACTCTTTGTATTTTATGAAAAATTTGTTTACAATGTCAATAAATTGCAAAAAAGAATTTTATGTTATAGGCAAAAGCCATTCGAATATTANGTGGAAAAGTACCACTATTTAATGACTTCATCTATATTTCCTCATGGCTTTAGTGCTGATACACATTTTTTCAACTACACAAAAACTTTGCAAAACTAAGAATTCGAAAAAAGAGTATCTAACTCTTTGTATTTTATGAAAAATTTGTTTACAATGTCAATAAATTGCAAAAAAGAATTTTATGTTATAGGCAAAAGCCATTCGAATATTAAAATTTGTAGTTATTAAACTGAAAGTTATTTTCGAGATAATTAACAACACTCGACAAACAAATGTCAGCCTTCTTTTTAAATAATTTAAGCTGCATCATATTAACGCAACTGGTACGTAACGCCTCTGCGATATGCCCATAAAACATTACTTGGGTATATCAAACATTGGCTTCGTTTCTTTATACATTCCGGATAATGCCATTTCACAGCCGGAATAAACAGAATGCGTTTGAAATATACATCAACATATCAACAGGAACGTTCTAAAGAATAAATAAACAAAAAAGCTTATTCCAAACGTTCAGAATGAATAAAGAAATGCAGCCATTATCTGAAACATGTCAACTATAATTAAATTATTTTCTTCTTACTTTTTACAGTACAGTTTAAGGAAGTTCTAACGTTATGTAAAACCCTTACGTATTTTGTTTGAATTGAAAATTCAGTACAAATCAATACAAATTTTGAAAAATCAGGGCATTATCGTACTGATTGAAGTAATTAATAAAATCAGTACAAGAGTTGAAAAATCAGTACTGTACTGATAAAATCAGTACGTCTGGCAACCGTAATGTTTAGTAGCTTTGGAACCACCACCACCTGTTTTTTAATGGTGTGAAATTTCATAATACGACTTTTATGGTAGCTTGCGATCTACGAACACAAAATCAGCATGCTATTATAGGCTTTGAATATCATTGCTTTAAACCAGGGCACAATGGCCGAAATTGGATTTTTTTGGCATAAATTCAAGATTTTTTTAGCAATATATTCTTGATATCAGTTAATTTTATAAAAGAACATATGTATGTCAACTAAAAAAAATTCCATATAACAGATTTGAAGTTTCAATCCTGTGCTTTCAGTGCACTTTCAAAGTCGTGTGTATGATTAGCGGTTATCTTGTCAGAATTGGTGCAAAATTATTAGTCAATTAAGATGAGCTTGTGAAAGTTTGCGTTAATATAAATAAACCAAGTTAGATATGGAAAACAAAGGTCAAGGTATTTCCAATAAGAATTAGTTAATGTGCATATCGTGTGAGTGTTTGTTTGTTGTTATTTAATGTAATTGTGGTGCGTATTTAAAGAAAAATACTAAACAATATCTTTATGTTCTGTGGAGTAGAACTAGCAAGCTGAAGACTGCTGACGCGAACCAATAACAAAAAAATGCTTAATAATAATTAGATTTCATTCGAGTAATAATAGTTTTGGCTCATTTTTGCTAATTTTTCCAAAATTTAACATTTTAAGCGGGGTACACGTAGAAATCTATATATCCTCCTTACATAGAACAAAGCGATTTTTTTTTATCTTTAGGCCTGAGAACTTCTATAGGGTTGCCAGCTGTCTAAAAAATTATAAGATCCGCACCGTTCTTTGAATTACATAGGTGTCAAATGAAGGTGCTCAGCCTCTGGATGTCCAATAATGCATTATATTTTTAGTAGGGTTGCCACCATTTAAAAAAATATAATATCTTCACCGTTAGTTGGACTAAAAATAAGGTACAAAGTGAAAGGATACGGTCCCCGGATGTGCAATAAGCTTTTATTTTTTTAGTGGGGTTGCCATCGTTTTAAAAATTACTACCTTACATATACATACGCATTTGTTGTTAGTGACATCAGATTTGCACAGTGCATTCAAATTTAAAAAATTAGGTATCATTAGCTATATAGATGTGCAATAAATATTTATTTTCTTCGTAAGGGTTGCCACCTGTTTGAGAATTCGAAACGAAAGAGTGCTAAGAAATTCTTAGTTTGAATATTTAAGCTATTTTTGCGGTATTTGAAGGAGATTAGTATCAATCTAAATGCGTTTGAAAGCCTTTATTCAGAACTATATTTAGTAGAGTTGCCACAAAAAAATCTCAACTTGAATTGTGGCACTTGGTTAATTTAAATATGTATCACAATATGGGTGCCAGACTAAATGGGTTTAAGCAAGTTTTAAAAAAGTTTTGAAAAAGATTATCGTTCTAAAGGAGGGTAATACAAAGGGAGAGGGAAAGGGTTATCTGATTGGCCCAAAAGTTTTACCATAACTTGTTAGTAGCAGGAAGAACATATGTACCAAGTTTGAAAATGATAACTTTCTTTTTAAAATTTATGCAAAAAAATTAAATTCCGGCCAGTGTGCAGTGTGCAAAATATAGTGCAGAAATTTAAATTTTCAAACCCTCTTCGACTGACACCCACATTTCAATTATTCATTTAACTTATTAAATAATTTGAATTTTACTTTTTGAATAGGAGGCAACCCTCTTCCAATACCTCAAAAACATTTTTAGTGTTCAAACTAAGGACTTCTATTGACTTTCGTTTGACAACCGTATTTTAATATTTAATATAACTTGAGTATGAGTTAACTAAATTGGACATTTAAAGTAAATGACAAACCTTTTCAAATATTTTCAAACTACTACCTTCTGAAACACATTTTGTTTGACACCCATATGATGATGCATATTTCTCTTAACTAATTCCCTTAATTCAAATTGAATGTGATTTTTTAAACAGGTGGAAACCCTTCTGTACTTAGGTTTAGAAACAAAGCTTTTCAAACCATTTTGGCTGATACCCAGTTTGTAATAATTGATTTTTTTTAATAATTATAAATTTTAATATAATTTTTTAAAAGGTGGCAGCTTGTTTCAAAAAAGGAAAACCTTATTGCGCATCTACAGTCCAAACCTTTTATTTTAAAACCTCTTTTTGGCAAATCGAGCGAACGGTGTGGATTTGATGCCATTGATTATTTGATAATTTGAATTTAATTTTTCAACAGGTGGCCACTATTTACGAAAAAATAAAACCAGCTTGCACATCTACAGGCTGAGCGCTTTAATTTAGCAACCCATTTTTTTTAAATCAAGCAGATCTTTTGTCCTGAACAAAAAATTCCATCGCGTAATATATATAAAGATTTCATACTAATTCGAAACTCGGTATGTCATGCGGACCAGTTGCAAGTTTTATTTATAACATTTATTTGACAGCAAAAGCGTAAAAAAGCTTTTGCATTACCACTTTCAACCGGTAATTTTTCATATATAAATACATACCTTCTCTCTTCGGTATTGTCTTTAACTTTGCGTGTTGCGTTTAATGCGTACTCCTTCTCAAGCCGTTCTAGTTCTTTTCTAGCATCAACTTCGGCCTGACGTTTGGCTTCAATAATATCACGATTATTTTCGAAGAACTGGTGTTCCCAAGATTGAATAGATTTTTTCCGGTTTTCTTCTTTGGTAAAATACTCTTTAACCCTCTAAATAAAAACATGAATAAATAAATATTTGTTGTGCATTTAGAATCGATATTTTCAAGAATTGTATCTTCTTAAACGAATTTAAAAAAAAATCATATAAATTCACCGGAGGCTATACGAGTATGCGTACATTACACTGTCCTTTAATGTCCTTAAATATATTCATGGGATTTAATTAAACTAGGAATCTTCAAAATGCATTCAAAATAAAAATCTTGAAGTATAACATTTTCAAATGACATATTTGACATGCTAAAATAATTGGAAAGAAAAGTTATAATTAATCTTGTTTCGAGTCCTTCTTTCAATTGATACCCATATATCCATATATAATTTATGGTCCTTTGTAAAATATCCTGCTACCTATGCAATATGCAGTCTCCATGGGCAAAACTTTGCCTGATAATATTATCAAGATAAAAACTTTTGCCTGTGGAGACAGCAAGTAAGCATGGGTTGTCATGATCCGAATTGCTTAAAATTTGATTCGGAGAGTATTTAAGACAAAAACAGTTTGATTTTTTGGGACGGTCTAATGTGCATATGTGATGAGCTCCATAACAAAACGCAATAATTCAATTTTTTGTATTTATCGTGTTTTGACAGAATCTTATACTACATCCCAGGGAAGCCAACTCGTGGGGAATTCCCCGATTTGTGGGGAATTTCAGTTTACGTGGGGAATCGGTGGATGAACTGTTTTTTTTTTTGTGAGGAATTAGGAGTTAACCAATTTTTTTCTTTTGGAAGCACTATTTGCAAATTGTCATTTGAAATTTTTATTTATGCCGCCATCGGCTGTGATTTTTTGCTTTTCATTTCTTTCAAAGGATTAAACAATAGCAAATTGTAATCATACTTATATTGATAATTTTACATTCATTAGATGTCAAAACCTACAGCTCGTTCAATTCTAATAATTTAAAGTTTCAAATGGGTAAAAATAACCGTTGATTTTTTAGAATTTTCTTAGTCGCACTTGTTTTCATTGAACGAATAAACAAAATTTAGTTTTATGACGAAGCAAATCGCAACAACTTCGGAAAAAAGTCCGGAGTTTTCACGGAAGTTTGTCGAATTTTTTTTTAATAATCCACAAAGTTTGAAACCTGGATTTTTATAAAAAAAAGTACTGCAAATTAAATAACAAAAAAAAATAAATAATTGTGAAAACTTGTAAAAATTTGGTGGGACTTAATTTTTTTTACCACACTTTTTATTCTTTATTTTTCAACTGATTTTATAAAAGTTTGGTTTAGTATATGAATGCATAGATGAATCGCATTTAAAAATAAAATGACATAACTGTAGACGCATCTCATAAAGTGTACAAACAAAATAATATTTTGGAAATTTCAACCTTAAGCAATTGTTAAGGGAAAGTTCACTCTTTCTCACGTTCATCATACGCCCCGGCAATCAAAAAAGCATTGATATCTACGAACAAGCTATAAAATAAAACTTAATAAGCCGAATTGAGTAAAACAAAATGGAGTCCTTAAGTGCAGGTGTCTATTATTCAATTAGGATACTCCGAACATTATAACTTATTGAAATAATTTTATGCATATACAATAATTTTTGAAAAGAATCGACTAACGACGATAAAATGAATACGGGCGCGAAATTTTAGGAAGTTTTGGCTATTTTTCGCGACTTTATGTATATAAAAATGTCGAAGATTCGGTAGAATTCGGTGCGCACGATACCATGTGAATTGCCTAATAAATTTGTCAACTAATTGAAACGTACGAACCTCTAGTTCCCTGGGCTCAGGAGTGTAGAAACTCTGTGGTAATTTGACCATTCGGAAACTGCTATTGTAATCACCGATTCCTATCAGCTTTTCAGGCTCTGACGGTCGATGCTCTGATATGGCTGTTATTATCCCACCACCCAAAATGTCGTTATAGCATGCATCGTCGTCACGGGCTAAATGTCATGTGAGAAATTAGGAAATAAAATACTTTAACTGGTTTTGGAAAAAAATTATACAATTTGTCAAATCGCGTTCGTGCTGACCAAAAAATTGGCAAACAAGGGCAAATTGAGAGGCTAGGCGTACAACCAACTGGTATATTGCACTTAAAAATTAGACAAAATAATCACATATTTACCAAGAATATCCCAAGCTTCAATATTTCCATCAATTCGCGTCAGGAATAATATCCCAGGTCGAGATTCGCTCCACGCCACCGCAGTCAAATCTGTTGCACATCTTCGCCAAAATATTGGCGAATAATTAAAATTTTCCTTCCAAACGGCAAATATTGAACGACCAATAGATACAAAAACTGCTGGGTAAAACGGGTTCTTTTTCAATGCGATAACTGGTCCATCGTGCACCCGAGCAAAATTGATCGTCATCGAAACAGTTTCACGACGTTCTGCACCTGCATATGAACCCAACCAATTAAGCCTTTCAATGCGTCCATAAAATGACGACGTTATAATCGATTGCCTCATTTCTTTTGGATCTTTAGCTTCGAGAATTGTCGCAAAATTGTTGGTATTTTTTGCTGCCTTTTGTGGTGAATCCGGTATCTTACAATGAAATACAGATGAGTCGCAATATATAGAGGTTATTGGCTCATTAAATACAATAGTGAAAATGGGATTAAGCACTTTATTTTTATAAATTGACTCGCTTTGTGTGAGGGCCCTGGGCTGATCACGCCTCATAGCCGCAGCTTGTAGTTTCTTGTCGTTTACCAAATCTAAATTCCAAAATGAAATGGTTCCATCCACAGAGCAGGTAAGGAAAAATTTGTGTATTATCTCTTTATTAGAATCTGTAAAAGCCTTGCCAAAGGAATTCACATGAAACTGGTTTCCTAGCCAATATATGCCGGTAATAGCAGACTTTTGGGATACTTCCAATGCAGACATCATAGCGGCAGGTACAATGGCATCCTCGTTTATCTGTATCGTCCATTTTAAAAAATCAGCTATTAAAACGCGATATTTGCTTTGTGCTGCTGTCAGTATCTCTTCAGTATCAAATTTTTCCACACGTCCTTGAAGATCCCAAGCAATTAGCTGACCATTTTTGCATCCGCCAAATAAAAGATTCGGGTCGTGTGGGCAGAACGAGAGAACAGTTACTTCTTGTGAAGATTCGAATTCCAATTTGTAATTTAAATTATCAGAAAAACTCCACATTAAAATAGGATTTGGTTGCAATACAGCACGCTGGACTATGTCGACATGACGTGATACTAAAAAATCATAATCAATAATGCAGATTGTAGATTATATTCTTAAGAATGAGTTGAGGCAATACTTAAGTCGATTGTAGCTGGGGTATCAAACGTATAAGAAGTGACAATTAATCCAGATAGGTTGTAGTACCAATCGATTCCACAAACGTAGCGTTCATAACTCTTGGAGATGTTAGCAAAACATAGAGTTTCTTTTAAGTATGGCGTAGAGTAGTGCTCAATAGGTTTGTTACAAATATAGGCGTAGTCATTTCTAGCATTATAAAAAAAAAACAAAAGATATTAAATTCACACAATCAAAATTAATCTGTATAATTTCAATGTTTATTTTTCACAGGTAACAAAAATTGTGTCTCCTATAAATAAAGTCCTTGAATATTTTACAATTGTTTAAAAAAAAAAGCAGCGATGTCCCTTCAAATCATGCATCAAAATTTTAGCTTTGTTTCACACGGGCCCGCGTTTGCCCAAAATTTTTAGCCGAAAAAGTGGAACTTATTGTATCCTTCCTGCCTTCCATTTAACCCACCAACTTTTACGCTTCCTACGTGTTTGATGAAATTTTGTACACAGATAATGTTTTGGATTTTAAGGTTAACTGAATAGGCATTATCTTCGAGAAAACTTGTATAAAGTTGCCACCTATTCGAAATTAGTTACAAAATAATTAAAACATCATAATATGGGCATCAAACGGAAGGTACTTTAAAGATCCCTAATTCAAAAATATTTTTAATAGGGTTGCCACCTATTTTGAATCGCATATTTATTTAATTTTTTGTTTAGAAAAAAAAGGTAAATTATTACTATTCATGGGTACCAAGAGAAGGTTGCTAAACAATGCTTTCCCTATACACAAAATGTTGTGTCGTAGGATAATAGTGCAAGGTTGCCACTTATTTTCGATTCTACCCAATTTATATAAAACATCGCAATATGGATATCCTTGTAATACAATTTTTTTTGTGTTAATCTCAAACAACATATTTTTATGTGTACATAGTACACCTACGCTCGAGATATGTACCACTCCTTCAGCGTATTCCGGGATAGGGTTGCCACCTAAATTTTTGAGCAAGAATTTACTTAATAGGTATGGAAATCCATTTTTTTCCAAAATATTTTTTTTAAAGCTATCCAAATTTTGAAAACTTTAAAAAGTATATGCACTCTGGGCAAAGCTCGGTCAACCTGGTACTTTCACTCAATGGTGGTGCAGAAAAAAGTACAATAAATATCTAATAAATTAAGTATTTGAACAACTTTGGCCTTAAAGCGTTTACTAATCCGAAAAATTACCGAAATTACTAATTCTTCCATAGTTACTCGAAAAAATCATATATTTTTTTAAATAAATTTGAGAAGTTTTCAAATAGAATATTTATGTTAAAGGCAACGAAAGTTGGCATCAAATACAGCATACATATATGTGGTCTCAATAGTGTGACACCAAATTAAGAATTGACAGCATGCAGAATATCTGTCCCAGCTATTTTGTAATTTTTGAATTGAAACGATTTTTTTATTTTAAAAATTTGAGATACTTCAAAATGCCACCAATAAACTGCGAAAATGTTCCTCTTACCAAAGCGAACCAATTTTTGCCAATAAAACTAGTGTGCCAAGAAATGAAAAAAATTACATTGATTGCGAAACAAAAATTCCAATTTTGCGATTTTTATTGGCACACTCGAAATTCATTCTGAAATTATTATATACATATGTACATGAGGACATTTTTATATTTCGACTGCTGAGTGGAAGATCGACCTACTCGGCTGCCAGTTAAAAAATGCCCTATATCAAAAAAAAACTTTTCAAGTACGCCCTATTTCGGAATTTGTTTCAAAAACACCCTATCTCAGCCGCCGATTCAAAAATGCCCTATATCATCACATTTTCAATACATTTTGAAGTGAGATAGGGCGTTCTTGAACATAATTCTGAAATAGGGCGTCCTTCAACCAAGTTCTGAGATAGGCTGTTTTTCAATAAAATTCTGAAATAGGGCATTTTTGAAAAGTTTTTGAGATATTTATAACTTTTAAGTAATATGACCTTTACGGTAAGGCGTGCGAATAAACTGAGTCTTGAGGCGAGTTGTATTGCGTTACTCCATTGATACAAGATACAATTAAGTTATTGCTGGGATTCTACGGGGCGTATACGTTACATACACAACTATGTGCCTATGAGCTTGAGTTATTTTGACTTTTTATACCCGAGNTGTATACATTTGTCTATATCTATCTCGATTCGTTTTGGCTGTTACAAACAACCGTTATGTGAACAAAATTAATATACCCTTGTGCACAAGTGCGCTCGGGTATAAAAAAATCTGAATATTGGTTCCGTATGTAGGCTGCTGTGGTGTAGTGATTAAAAGTGCGCAAACCTCCAAGGGTATTTCTGCCATGAAAACCAGCTCATAAAAAATACAATCGCCGTTCAGAGTCGGCGTAAAACAGTAGGGACGCCCTTTGTGGCACAACATCAAAGCGCACGCAACAAATCGGAGGAGCTCGGCCAGACACTAACATCTTGTGTAAGCGCCAATCTATTATTTTTACACGTAGAGATTGAGGTGTTGGCTTGAAACACCGAGACCGCTTGTTCAAATCCCGCCACGTGCAATCCTAACGATAGTAAACAATTTCTGTTCTTTAAAGCAGAATTTATATCGGGAAGAATTGTTAATCACATTAGGTCGATACGATACTAGCGTTCTGGTACTCAATTCCGAAAAATATCGTTTTAAAACTATCGAGTAAAAATATCGGTATCGAATTCCAAAAGTATCGATATGGTATCGTATCGTATCGAAATTCGCGTCCCTACTTAAGACGGTTAACACGTCTTGTGAATCCCCTAAATCTAATTAAATATTTTAGCAAATGTTTATTGCATATTCGAATACTCAGTCTTCTCTTGTCACCATTGTGGACGATGGAGAAAAGTTTTTTATCTGAGAACGAGAAAGAGCAGGGCCTGAGGTTGAAGAGGAAAAATTTGAAGGCAGTGAATCAAACGACGAAGATTAAGAAGAAGTTTCGAGCGTATACTGCAAGACCATTTTTGGTCCTCGGAGTGTATTACGTATGTACGTCTTAAACATTGGAAGCGTTCCTTCCCTCTATCACAATATAATCGGCTTTGTTCTTCGATTTGGTTTCTAGTTTTTATACCCGAGCGCACTTGTGCACAAGGGTATTATAATTTTGTTCGCATAACGATTGTTTGTAACAGCAACAACGAATCGAGATAGATATAGACAAATGTATGCATAAATGCTCAGAATGAAATGAGAAATCGATTAAGCCATGTCTGTCTGTCCGTCCTTTTGTCCGTCCGTATACACGATAACTCGAGAAAACATTAAGATATATCAACGAAATTTGGCAAGTAGGACGCCCTTTAACCAAGGTTTGTTGGGATTGAAAATGGGCATATCGATGGCTGAGTGGAAGATCGACCTATCTCGGCAGCCAGTTCGAAAACATTCTATCTCAAAAAACTTTTCAAGAACGCCCTATTTCAGAATTCGTTTCAAAAACGCCCTATCTCAGCTGCCGATTCAAAAACGCCCTATATCAGCATATTTTCAATACATTTTGAAGTGAGATAAGGCGTTTTTGAACCGAATTTTGAGATAGGGTGTTTTTCAATAAAATTCTGAAATAGGGCGTCCTTGAAAAGTTTTTTGAGATAAAGCGTTTTCGAACTGGCAGCCGAGATAGGTCGATCTTCCACTCAGCCATCGATATGGGCTCATATAACGGTATTTTCAAAAATGCAAAAACTACGCTGCGGTGGAAATTTAACCGCAGCAGTTCAAAGTTGCTAGTGGATACGCGGGTGACGGGTTATGCGTTTTAGGTTTAACCAGAAAATAGAAACTGTGGCAGACTCCTTCTGGTAGTTTAGGAATTTTCCGTGTAAATGAATTAAGCAATTGGAAAAAGCTAATAGCCTTATTCACAAAAAATAAAGTAGCTTTACAAAAGGTTTATGAGTTGAAAAATTTATGAAGACGCCAATTTATAAAGCTTTTTAAACCTACTTTATTTTTTATGAATAAGGCCATAATGCCGAGTTTCCACTAGGCATTGAAATGAAAAAAAATGTTTGCCCTTAAAAAAAAACGCCATGTGGAAATGAACTCAATGACTATTTTTTCACATAATGACACGATTATTTTTAAATGCCCAACTTTGTCATTTGTCATTTCTGCCATTTAATGCCTAGTGGAACTCCAGCATAATACTTTATTCCCCTAATATACTAACAGCCTTGTTTTCTTAATTGAACCGTAAAAGCCGTAAAAGTGAATTGTGAATAAATTCATAACGCTAGTTAATACTATATGTATGTATATACTTACATTCGATTACTGTTGAAAGGTTTTTTTTTTTCAAAAAGGGCGAGCTCATGTTTTACTCTAGAAAATTACACACAAGCACAATCTTTTTTATAAAAGTGGCCGCTAATAATATTTTCGAAAAAAAAACCGAATCCCGAAATGTGAACTACGAATTTGTTTTCACTTATTACTTACCGGTACATATCAATTTGATTAAATTCTAAAGTGTCCAATAAGAGTCGGATATTGGACGAAAGCTCTGGTGGTGGTTTGGTAATTACGGGTTCCATTGATGCCGGAGTTACAGATTTGCTTGAGCCCTGAGCTTGCTCCTTGGAAGCCTCGTCTTCCGAACTATCATCTAACCCCTCTTTAAGGTAAACAAATTATTGTGATTCATATATTGCATAGTTATAATATGGTTTTCTCTAACCTTCATCAATTATCTCGTACAAATATTGTGCCCAGGCATTTGTTGGAAATGTTGGATCAGTTTGCTGTTCCAAGTGAATTAAAGTTGGTGCCGATTGAATACCTATGGTAACTCGTCGTCGCAATATATTTTCAAATTTAACTAATTCACTCGGCAAAAGTTCGACGTATCCATCACGCACGTCCGAAGATTTGCGAAAGGAAAATTCCTTGTTTTCTGGTATCCTTAAGGGATATACACTCTGTACCTCGACCTCAAGTGGAGTTGCATGTTGTTGTTCTATAGTCATCTTTAGTTCATTCTCACTGCCTAGTGATACCCAACGGCGAGGTTTCTTTAACAAACGCTTGTTTACTACCCAACGTTCATATAATTCCATATTTCGAATTATTGATAGCGCCGTTTTAGCATCTGCCGGATTTAGAAAAACAATAAAGGGATCACCCTCTGGCACATCGTCTAGATTTTCCGTCAAGATGGGAGCATAACCAAATAATAAATGATCTTCTAAGTTAAACCCTTGAAGTGCAGCGCTTAAAAATTCGCCGTCTTCTATATCTTCGAGTTGATCTAAAAAATTCTTGTATTTGACTTGTTTCCAAGGGAATTCTTGAGTAACATTTAGTCCAATCAGCAGCTGTAAACGCCGCTGTCCCTTTTCTCTGTAAATTAAAATTATTTGCTCAGTGTTTATTTTATTTTTGTTCTTCAATTATCTTTTGTTGAAATTTGTAATAAATTCAAGGCCAGATTTAAATTAAGCCAAATTGTAGGCCGTTTTATTTATAAATTAGGGATATAACAGTTATGTATAAATTTTATCGCAAGATCAGAAATATTTTTTATTTCATACAATCGCAAGGTGAGCCTAATAAGGGTAAAATAAAGCAGTTTTTATGTCGGCCTTACAGAGCAATTCCGGCTGGTAGTAAAAGGTCTTTCGTAGGACAAATTAAAGATATACGGCAAGATAGTTCGAAATAATTTCGTTATTCTAGCACAAAAGTCTCATTCAGCACTCGGAATGAATAACTCTTTCGCCAGAAAGCACTTGTATATAATTTTTCTTGCGCCGCTTCAACAGTCGCAATATTCGAGTGTGCAAAGCACTGGTGTGCCATTCGTGTCCTCGGCGAGCAGATATGTACTTACTTTTTTTTTTAACTGACTTCAAAAAAAGGATGAGGTTATCAACTCGTCGGAATATATGTATTATATGTTATGTTACCGCATAACTTTGGATTCTATGATTTTTAAAGAAAAGGTGTAACACCTCAGAGGTGGTTCCATACCAATTTGGTTTGGGTCCGATCTTTGGATTATGAAAAAATTAACGGTACTCTTAAATTTTTATATGAGAATTGAAGACGGTTATGTTTTTTGCTTAGAAATTACTTGTAGCATTTTATTGTTTAAAGAGGAAAAAAAATATTTTTAAATAATTTCATTTTATTTTTTTTTAAATTTTGGTTTTTTTTTCTTAATATTAATTCTTTTAATTTCAGAAGTAAAATATTTTTTTATTTTCATAAAATTTTTAGAAACCTATTTAGTTTTTACTTTTCTTTTAATTTACAGTTTTTTTAGTTTAAATTTCTTTCTTTTTTCAGATATAATTGTTTAATTGTTTTGTCTCTTTTTAACTTACTTTATTTTTTTAAATTAAGTTTTTTATTTTTTCTTATTCTTTTTAGGAACTTGTTTTCATTTTCCTTTTTATACCTTTTATGAGCATGAAATGGTATTATGACTTTGGTCCGATGTTTGTAAGTACCAGAACAAAAAGAGATAGACCCATTAAAATGTATACTTATATGATCAGAACGTCGAGCTGAGTTGATTTATCCATGTCCGTCTGTCCGTCTGTCCGTGTCTGTCTGTTGTATGCAATCTAGTCTCTCAATTTTCGAGATATCCGGATCAAATTTGGTAGGTGGGTTTATTTTTATAATGTATTAATCATTTGTCGGAACCGGAAGAATCGGACCACTATAACATATAGCTCCCATACAACTGATTGTTCAGATATGAGATTTTTGGTTATAACTTCTCCATTTATGCAGCTACGAACATGAAATTTTGCAGCACTTGCACCCATTATCAACAGAATGCTTACAGTGAAAATTACAAAGATCGGGTCACTATAACCGATAGCTCCCATACAACTGATTGTTCAGATATAAAATTTTCCGTTATAACTCCTCCATTTATAAAGCTGGGAACAGAAAATTCCGCACTGTTTTCAATAATTATCAACAGAAAACTTACAGTGAAAATTAAAAAGATCGGATAACTATAACCTATAGCTCCCATACAACTGATTGTTCAGATATGAGATTTTTCGTTATAATTCATCCATTTATTTAGCTAGGACCATGAAATTTCGCGCTGTTTTCACTCATTATCAGCAGAAGACTTACAGTGAAAATAACGAAGATCGGGTCACTATAACCTGCAGCCCCCATACAACTGATTGTTCAGATATGAGGTCTTTTATCATATCTCCTCCATTTACGCAGCTAGGAACATGAAATTTCGCACCATTTTCACTCATTATTAACAGAATACGTACAGTGAAAATAACAAGGATCGGGTGACTACAACATATATCTTCCATACATCTGATTGTTCAGATATGGGATTTTACTGTAAAACTCCTTTATTTGAACAGCTAAAACCGATATATTTCGTAAGATATTTTATAAATAATAATACAAAGTCTACTGAGAAAATCGTCAAAATCTATGCTGTATAAGCTTTATCTCCTATAGCACTGATTGTTCAGATACCAGTTTTTGCGATATATCTCCTTTATGTAGGAAACTAAACCCAATAAATTGTGTTACCGGTTTACATACCGATCACATAGCAGAGAAAATCACTTAGATTGGTGCCATATAAAGTATATCTTCCATACCTCTGATTGTTTAGATGCGATTTTTTATATAAGTATATAACTCCTCTATCGATGTATGCAGATGTATTCAAAATCAGTAATCTGTCAAACTAAAATTTGCAGATGTTCATGAAAGGTATGAAGCCTTCGGCATAGCCGAACACAGCGCTGCTCTTACTTGTTTTAATTTATTTTTCATTTTTATTTAATTTTCTGATTTCACTTTTTTAAAAAGAATGTTTTTAATTTAAATTTTTGATCTATTTATCCTTTTTTAATTTTGTTCTTTTCCTTCTAATTATTTAATTTTTTTTTTAATTTTTATGTTTTACTCTAAATAAAAAATTTATAATTGTTCTAATTTTATTTAACTTTTTAAAAACTTATTCTAAAAGGCAAACAGAATAACGTTAAGACCTTCTCGTTTTTAGATCTTTCAGTTGGTCTTTCGGAAGACAGTAAAGATACTTTCCACAATTGATGATTGCATTATGAAAGACAGTTGCCAGAATTGCCCCGTTAAGCACATCTGAAACATACCACATCGATGGCTGAGTAGAAGATCGACCTATCTCGGCAGCCAGTTCGAAAACGCCTTTGATAATCAGTCCATTGCCATTTTGCGACTGATGTAGCAGACTACCGATGGACTTCGATATCTGTGCCATGTTGACACAAATGGAACGGAACGGAATGCTAAAAATTTTTCTTAAATGTTTCTAAGCCGTTCTTAAATTGATAAACAATATTTGAGAAAAGTTTGAAAAATGTTTAGTTTCAAATAATAAACAATAGAGTCCGACCGATTCCAATTTTTTTTCAGGTACCGATGCCGATGCCGATTAATCGGCTTATGGGGAAAGAATCGGCCGATGCCGATGCCGATGCCGATTCCATAAAAAATTACAAATAAATGTATTAATTCATAAAATCAGTTCATTTCAGGGAGTTAAAAAAAAAAAACAAAAGAAAAGAAATAATTGAATTAATTGGCCTGTTATGCAACATTACATACACATATAATATATATACATACATATATCACATTTATGTACATTACACAAAACACTTTTTTTATGGTGCTAAGCAAAAAATATTTAGGAACATAAAATTTCATTTCGTTTTGTACTAAAATACACTCTTTTGCACTCAATGCATCAGAACTTATATGCTAGGTATGTATGTACATACATATAGTGGTCCACAAAATAAAAGAATTGCAATATTTTGACCGATTTTGTCTTTTTTATTTAATGTTTATTATTTTTTTTCATAAAAGTCTAGCTGCTATACAACAAACACCATATAAATTCAGATTTCAAACTATGTACAAAAATTAGAAAAATTCTGCTTATTTTCACCAAAATTTCAAACTTTTTAATCTGAATTTTGGTATGCAGTTTTGTAGACCATTTCATTCTAGTAGTATATGAAGTGCAAGTTTCAAGCTGCTATAAGATCCCGTTAAATTTTGGCAATTTTTTTTTTGCTGGCAGTGTTCTCCATATAAAAGAAAATTGTCGCACATACTTTTGTATGGAAAAAACGTGAAACACCTTCAACAAAAAAAAAATCATTTTTGTGAGTTGTCTGCAAATGTTTTTTAATGTTGGCTGTCGCTTCACCTGAACATTTGAAATTAAAATTAAAAAATTCCAAAGAATCGGCGAAAAAAGGCCGATGCCGATACCAATGCCGATGCTCAATTTTGTGCCGATACTAGCCGATGCCGATGCCGATGCCGATGCCGATTAATCGGTCGGACTCTAATAAACAATGCTTAAAATAAAATTGAGAGATACGACTTTCTCAAACGTTTGAAAATTTATGTTCCAGTATTTGTTGAGTATATATTTCTTCGGTCAGTGTGTATTGCACGAAAAATTTGGAACAATTTCGTCTGTGGACTTAATATAAGTATATAAGACTGCATCACCAAAATAAGTTGGGGGTTTTCCGCCGGGATTACAAAATCTATTATGTTTTAAGACATCCACCAAAATATTTCGGGAAAAATACTAAGATCTACCTTTTGGTTGTTTGTGTTCCGACATCATACTAAGATCTACGTGAACTGGAATGATTTGAAAATACCTCCAAAAATGGAGGTTTTTATGAATAAAAATGGTTTCTTAAAGAACTTTTTGAAGAAATTCCCTCAAATTACAAAGCAGAGTAAACTTAAAAAATCTGCATAAAAATATTTAAAAATCTTTCGAACGGAATCGTAATAATGAGAGTTTTGATGCTGTTTTTTTTTTACTTTTTTCAAAGATTGTTTTAAGAAAAACTTGATTAACTGGGCCAAAACTATTCTCATTTAGACCGATGTGGTTTCAGTAGAAAGTCATTTTCTCGCTCTTTTTATTTCTGTGCACAAAAAAGCCCATTCACGTCCCAATTTTTTCCCCCCTAAATACCAACACATCTTAATTTAACTTGGAATGACGCTCGTTCATCCTAACCTTTCTTTTTCATCCTTTGAAGCAAATAAAGTAATAAAGTATAAGCAAGTAAAGTAATAAATAAATCGGAATGGTTTAGGTTCAGTTCTTCAAGTTTTTTTTTATAACAACCTTAGCAAAAAGTTAAAAAATAGCATCAAAAATCTCATTATTATGATTCCGTTGAAAGTTTTTTTAATTTTTTTTTATTATTTTTATGCAAACTTTGTAAGCTTAAACCGTTAAGTCATTTGAGGATATTTAAATAAAAAAAAATCTTTAAGAAATTATTTGTATTCATAAAAAACTCCATTTTTGGAGGTATTTCCAAATCGGTTCAGGTTTTTCCGAAATATTTTGGTGGAAGTCTTAAAATATAATAGATTTTATACTTCCAATGGAAACACAGTGTGGGGAGTGATGCAGTCTAATTTATATGAATATACTGACTCTTACATCCTAACGTCAATTTTTTACGTCGCCTGATTACTGTTATGTAGGAGAAATATCTTTTCATTTGTCAATAATAGTTATTTTTGTGTTTTTACAAAGCTATCAAACAACGTAAAAAATAAGTATTGGGTTATCACCATTGTAGAGCCTATAATCAGCTGATTACACGAATACACCTAACCAAAACACACGTACAGCCTGTGTATATAACTTTGCGATGGTTATCAGCGAAACCAAAAAAATATTTATGACCCAATAACTGTTCTGTAATAACTCGTTTGTTAAATTTCAGAATTCTTGCTAAAAAATTAATCCAATCGTAAACTTTTTTAAATAAAAACATATGTATGTATCTACACATGTCCGACTGTACTTAAGCTTAACATACTTGAGCATTATTTGATGACATGATGACAGTGTTAAAAGGTTTCGCCATGCTTCGGCAATATCATATTTATAATCCGGATTGTCTTCATCATCTGAGTCCGGTTCCCGCCATCTTTTAATGTGGAGCTTTCCCGAAGTCAGCCTGTTTACAAAAATACGTTAATGATCTTTTTGAGTCAGTTTTATGATTTCTTTTGGGTTATTTAAGAAGATTTTGGCCAGCAAAATAAACTCTCCTTTTCGGGGTGTCTGATATTGAAACCAGATATGTATCTATAACTAGAAAAAATGCTTTCACCTTAACGCGCACGTGCCTGATAAACAAAGTAAATCTCGCAAATCAACTGTCAAAGTTCTCAAGACGATAAGTTCAGTGCATGAAAAAGTGGTAAACTCAATTGGAGGGTAAACTCAAAGAACTTACTATAATTGCAAACCAAAATAATCAGTATTAGAACATCAAACGGAGCTTTGCTTCGTAAGAATTTATAAATTATTTGCTTTTTTTTTTAAAAAATGCGAAATTTTAATGGAATAAATAAAAAATATATGTAAAAATAGGCTATTTTTTATTATTTTGTTAAATATTAAGGGCTTTTAGCTTTCAAAAGAAGAAATAAAAACCTTATCATTTTTTGCACTTTCTGAAGTAATGCGTTTTTCGCTAATGCATAAAATAATTTGTTGTCAGCGCCTTGAGATTTGCACGATTCGTTCCATTTTCAAAAATGAAGTGTCAAATTAAAAAGCTTGATCTGTGGACAATAGAAAGTTTATTTTTTTTAAGAGTTGCCACCTGTTAAAAAATTAGTTTGTTAAAAAATTTGATTCAAATTTTTTTGTAAGTTAAATGAATTATTAAGAGATGGCTATCAATGGAAATGTGTATTAACTACATGTAAAGAGTTGCTACCTGTTTAAAAAATCAAATTCCACTTGAATTAAAGGAATTAGTTAATTGAAATAGTTAGGTATCACCATAAGGTAGTCAGAAGAAAGAGGTTTAAGAAGGTTTTAGCTTAAAAATATTACGAATAGGGTTGCCACCTGTTTTTACAGTCGAATTTAGTTAAACTAAAATAATAATTACGTCAAACCATAGGATTACGCCATCGCATTTGTTATTTTATTACAAATACATACATTGTTAATCAGTGATTTGACTGATTACATTCCTTTTAATTACTGGACTCTTAAATTAACCCAGCAATGTTTTTACTTTTCACTTATTTCTTGGTAACTATGTAAAATTTTTTCATTTGTCTGATACTCATATTGATATACATATTCCAGTTACCATATTCCCTTAATTAAAGTGCATTTGATTTTTTAAACACGTGTTGTTTGGAAGTAAAATATTTTCAAAACTAGTTCAATTGATACCCATAATTCATTTAACTTTTAAATAATTTTAATATAATTTGTAGCAGGTGGCAACCCGTTTCGAAAATAAAAAACAACCCCAAGAACCCAAATTTTCAACTTCTAACTGCACTTACAGTGAAAGTATGAAAGTTATCTAATTTATCAATTTTACTTAGATGAGAATTTTCATTTAAATCCATACATGATTCTATTTTTGCCCACATTTTATATGTTTCCCCTGTGCGCCAGGAAAAATGCTTCTAAGAAATTACTAAAATCAACAAAGGTTCGAAAAGTCATTTGTTTTAGCTAAGGCTTTACAAAAGCCTTGGTAGAATCGATACTACTTATTAACAGTGACTTTATATCTATCTACATATGTACTAGGGATGTTGCTAATGTGGAATTTTAGACATCCGCGAATGCGAATGCGGATCCGGATGTCTAAAAGCAAACATCCGCGGAAGCGGATGGGAATGCGGAAGCGGATGGGAATGCGGAAGCGGATGGGAATGCGGAAGCGGATGGGAATGCGAACGCCAATATGTAGGTAACAAAAGTTTATGATTTTTAATAAAGTTTATTTTATTGAGTACTTGAATTTAAAAATTGGAACCTTAAATTTAATAAAAAGTAATGCTGCCTTTTCAGGTTGCATTCTGTTTTTAAAGGGTAGTAAATCAAACCTACGCCACTAAATAACTGCTCTCTCGAGGGAAAAATATTTGCGTGCCAAACTTGAAACTGTCGGATGTATCATCCTGACATTCATCTGCACTTGAAAAATCTAGCATCATGGCCGTTGCTTAAACACCGCCAAATCAGATGTGTCAGGTTTTTCTAAAGCTTTTTCCAAACAGCTCTTCATTCTCAGTCATCTCTGCTGCTGTCGAAATCCGAGAACCTGTAACGTCATCAGCGCGTTTCGATTTTAATTTTTCTAATTAATTTTTAAGGTGGATATTGCGAATAAATAGCTATTTTCAAGGAGTGAAAACGTCGAACAAAATTCGGTTTTCGAAGTCGTGTCTTAAGTTTATTTTCATTTCATTCGGTATTGATTACCATGGAATGAGCCATATTCAACTTATCTGTCAAACGCACGCATATGTACGTATTCGCATTTTATGGAGTTTCGGCATTAGACTTCAAATTACTGACGTCAAATTTGTTGTTATGGAAACTAATGTTTAAGTATTATCAACA